CCCACAAATATTATGGTACTGCTTGCTTTGATTAGGTTCAATGTTGAACCACAACGTTTGTGGGTTCGTTAGTCCGTACTTTTGGCCTAGCCAATGTATTTTACTCGAAATATCGCTAAGTTTGCATTTTCACGCTTATCACAAAATGGGGCTTAAAAAACTAACGGGAACAATTTATGGGTTAAGAAAAATAGCAAACCACCTTATCATATATCAATGTCATAATTTCAGCCCAGAATAAGAGGTTCACTCTGGGCTTGTATGACTCATTTACATAACTAAAGAGGCTTATAAGCCATTATGGTGCTGTGGGGCCTGATGAGCTGTTCAAATCGTACTGTCATTGAATTAAACTACATACTTTACCCAAAAAGGCTCTAGCATTACTGTGATCTTCATCTTTGACCTCACTTCTTTTTCGTTACTTCTCGCGAAACGAAGTCGAAACCGGCTCATGTTTTAACAGGATACCGAATCTCTAGTACAATAACCCAAAGTAAAGCGTAATCATCTCCACCACCGGTACTAGATGCCGTTTGCAGGGCTCTTACCTACATTCTTCCTCCCTCTTTTTTTCCTACCCACCTGTCAATTGGTCGTTGCTGGACATGAAGATCACTGCTTGGCTGTCTGAAATCTAACTGCCTAAGAGCATTTACTTCCCTTCCTTGATTACGCCATATTCGAGGATTTCGAGCAAATGATGCCCATGCCCATGCACATGCCAGTGCCTGGGAATCTTCCTCTCCCTAGGCTTCAAAGCCACGACTTGATTATCCTATCATCCCCACCCACGTTGTGTGTCATTCTTTGGGACCCCGTGTCCGGCTTAAGTCATATCGGCTGGTTTTGGAATGCACCGTTTTCCTTTAAATCGCGAAAAGCACATTCCTCTCGTCTCTCTAGTTGGCATCCCCATCTAATCCTAGGGTACAGGGGTGATGTTAACTGTGTTTCTTTGGCTTGTATCTCCGTGGCCAAGCCTGCCACTTCACCTTCAGACACAGATACGAAAATCACACACTTAGCCCACCTATACCTTTAGACTTTAATTTCATATCATACATCTCACAGGTAAACCTCATGGGTAAATTTGTCTTGCCAATTCCACGTCTTATTCCTCTCACTGCAGTCCCCTTTTCTTGACTTCCCTTTGTGCCTCATGAGCTACTCCTTAGTGATGTCTCTCCATGATGTCCTGAGTCCAAGCGTCTTCTTTTTCATGTCTTCACTAAATCTCTAAGTCTGCCTAGGCAGTACGCGAAATTACCACTAACTCTTCCTTCTTCCATTCTATTCATAAGGTTTATTTGGAAGAGGATGTACACAGCCTCTCTCCCATATGAGGCTAGTCTTTCCTTTGCATTCCAGTCAATTGTGTGGTCGGTAATGGCGATGTGTTCAGATATCTCCGATCTTTTCGTATCCTTACTTTACCTATATTTTCCAATATTCATCTATTCATCATGCAAATACTGTCCAGATTGGCTCTGTTCTTGTCATCATTACAGAAGATATCCGCCTTAATATCCTCCTGTAAATGAGATAAGGGGTGACGTCACAATTTGGCACTTACACTCTCTCCTTAAACTATCATAAAGGATTTAAACGGGGCCCAGTTTAGGCACAAAGCACTGTACATCCTAAAGGTTAAGACTTTTGGATTTCGAGAGGCAGATTCGATGCAAAAATCAAGTCTTCGCTATACATTTGGAAGTTTTACTGTCAGTCCTTTGATGATTAGAGCAACCTTCAATGCACAGCCAGTCAAATGTAGATTTTCTGACAATTTCAGCCGCCGCTTCTTTTGATTATATTCATATGATCTTGTTGCTGGCTTTTCCGAATAAACTATTAACTATTGTGGGTAGATGGTCATTATTGATGCCTTGGAACGAGAATGGGCAATTCACGTTTTGGGGCAAAAACTCGCTATTTCAGCAAGAGTTGCTTTTTTAGTTCACCAGCCCAGCGGTGTACAAAGGGAGTTTGAAACCAAGATTGCTCCCCTGAGATGAAAAATCTAGCTTGCTTGCATTGTCGCGTCTGAATTATCTGCTACAGAATAAATGTATTTACCGGGAGACTTGAGAGAAAGTAACATGTTTTCCTTCTATTTTACTAATCCCTGAATTGTCATTTATCTCACATTATCCTGATATTTACATCTTTCTGTCATTAAATTAACAAACTAGAAAATTCCATCTCACTCATCAATTGCCCATTCAGTATAAGGTCCTAATTTCTAAAGCACCAAAAGTCACTCAAATTTTTTAATCTTAAGATATTAAATCACATGGACTTTATTTGTTTCAACTTTATACATCGTTCTTGCGATAAATTTCCTTCTTCCTAGGGGCCCAGCGCTGCCATTTGATTTTCCTTTATCTCTTCATCTCCCAGACTGGCACTTAAACATCTTCAACTCAGCTTTTGAGATGCAAATGCTGAATAAACGAGAGTCAAAACCAGAATACACAACACCAAGCGTTAAGTAGGATAAGTCGCTTCTCTAGCGAAGTACTTTTTCATTTTTCTCTACATCTACCCCCAATCGTACATTAGGCTCCCATATAATAGTTATATTCACCCTCCTTCATTTAATATGATGAAAGACTGTTAGTTGACTTTTCTCATAGTTATATGAAAAGGTCTCATATTTTCATTGAATTTCACTTATCCTTGCTTCCCAAAAGGTATTATATTCCAGATTGGACTGCAATTTCGACCTCGTCTAGGTCTCATCAGCACCCTTTGGTCAAAACTGCAGTCCAGTCTGGATGCGAATAACTTCTTGTGAAGTAAGGCTGTGAACTTCATCTGAAACATGAGGTCTATTCATATCATTTTAAAAAGGTTCAGCTACCAGTCCTTTCTTACATTAAACAAAATGGGGTGCATACGCTTCTTGGATCATATCTACAGGTAATCTCGAAAATATACTTATATGACTAAAAAGTTTTATCCCTATATCGATAAATTGTGTTAAATATCGGGCTGAATCCTGAATGGTGTCCAACTTATCTCATATTCTCTTTTTATATATCACAATATTATTATTTTTGTTCGAATTCCATATTCGATCTAAAGATACAACCATCCAAAACAAGGTACATTTGATGGGGTAGAGTGACAGGCGCAAAGGTAGCATAATAGAGATAACATGATTTTTTCATGTGTTACTGTAAGATAATATAGCAGAAGATTAACTTTTTGCCAAGTTTATGATCAAATAGCTTTAGTCCCTGAAGATGACGTTTATTAACGCCGAAGGGCCATAATTTGCGATTTTTAATCTTATTTTAAGTCTAACTTCTTAATGGGGGATGCAAATTCACCAAGTTACAATATTGATAAAAGTTTACTCTGTCTCTATTGATGCCCATAACCTAGTTATCTTAAAACAATTCAAGTATTCCTTTTTTAAAGTACTCTTTCATGCGCAACAGCCCACAAATTTTATACAAGCCTACCGGGGTGGCTCATAAGACCATACTTTTCTATTGTTGTGCCCTAAGAATATTATTTCCTTTTATTTGAACGAAACAATTCCCACATATGGCGCTTAGCCCCTCTGCTGGTGCTTCCGAATGAAGTACCTACTTGCCACGCTTAAAACGCTTTCCCAAACCGTACACTAGTGAGTATTATCATTGAGAAGCTTGCATATTTTAGAATTATTTTTCATAGCTCTCCTGATCTTCCATCTTCCATTTTTCATTCCTAAACTTTTGTTTCATTTGCTTTTAAAAGTGTACTAAATAATTTATTCCTGTTGGAAGCAAAATTATTAATTCGCTTCATTTTGTGAGAGATTCGGATCATTATAATTCATTATCTTGTCTGAACCCCCTGAGAAGAATTTTGTAACAAAGTGATTTTACTAACTTTTGTGCACTAGATAATTACTTGCACTAAATTTTACCAAAGATGCTTTGCTGAGTGTGATATAAAGCTGTCTATCCTTTTACTTCACATTTTTCATTGCATTTTTTCCCTTTATACCCATATTTCTAGCCTTGGTGACATTTGATTAGATAAACGAATGAATGGCAAGCTGGATTTTATGACACCCATTTTTCCAGCTTTTGAGCGAACTAACTTGAAACCTCGTTAAGATTCTCTACCAAACTATGCTATTCGTTCATATTAGTTTAACTTTAAGCTTTATCTTCTGAGCTTGAGCCCTAACTCCTCCCTATTTAGACAGCTTCTCATCACTATATCTCTCTAACCAACTTCCCACTTGCTCCTCACTCTTTGTTCGGCTTAAGTGGGCTTCACCTTTCCTCTTCAAGTGCCCGGTGATACTGTCGACGGGGACGCTGAGGACGAGGCAGCAGATGGCAACGAAGGAGATGCCGATGATGATGATATTAAGCATCTGGAGGAGCAGAAGTTCTGTCTACGAGGACTGGGTGTATCCGACCCTAACACATTGGACAACCGACTTGTCCTGCCTCAGCAGCAACGCCAACAACATCAGCCACAAGATATTCCGATCACTTTTGCATCCAGTGGACCAGAGGCGGTGTCATTCTCTTATTCATCCTCCTCCTCTACTTCATCCTCATCTCCATATTCTTCATCTTCGGCGACCGCCTTCCAATCCAGCTGTCTGCCTGTCCCTCTTTCCACGATAGCCGATCGTCAGCTCTCTTCTCCGGCTGTTGGAAAAGCGAGCAAGACCTCTGCTGTTGGTACTCGATCAATTATGTCGGAGGTGATAGCAACGACAGTTGCCACGAATTCGACTTCCTCCACATTTACTTATCAGAATCCAAATGAAAATCAAACAAAGGATCTTTTCCGTCTTGAATGCCTTGCACAGCCTTCGGATCACTTGAAAAGTCAGTTTTTATACCCTCATCTCCATCCCCCTTCCTTCAAACTCATTATCTTCCCCTCCGCTTTCATCACCCGTCGAAATTTTATAGTCCCATCTTAAGCTATTTAATTGCTGTGATCCACATTTAGTTTCGAATATGGACCTAATTTATTGTCTTAGTTTTTTATTTAAAGTAAACATTGTATTTTTCGAAGGTATGACGACTAAGATGGCGTGGATTTTTGAGTGGTCGCAGTATCCTTCCGTTGTATGGAAGTTGTTTGACCTTGTTTTCGCAACTTGGTTATATGGATAGTAAGACTTGGAGGAACGAACCTAGTCCGGAGTCCATTATATGCATTATAATTTCCTGTCGGACTGTGGGCGTGGTACATTCCCAGAAGTTTTTCCGGCATCTTCAGTGAGTCTTGCCATTCTTAGCACCATACCACAACTCGTCAAATAGACAAGTGAAGCCGATCCTTTGACAAATTGTCTGCTAAACAATTATTGTCCCACCTTCCCTCCTGGGATAATCACCAATCTTATATCCTCATATCACGCATTCACTATCACAATTTTCACTTGCCTATCTAAATATGGTATGGTATGCCCTTTTGAGCGGCTTTCGTGAGAACGCTTTATATTCCACACTGGCTTTCTCAACCCCCCTCACCCACCTTCAGAGTCTGCCATATTGTTCCGCCGTCCTTCTGCTCTAGGTCTTATCAGAGTCTCCTCCTCGCCCCGTATGATCCTTGTGCTATCTCCCTAGTTCAAGTATTTCACTCGACCCCTGCCACCCCATCTGTGCTACTCGAGACGTTATTTTCCACACTCTACGTCTGGAAGACTAACTAAAGGCTAAAGCCCCTGGGTAATTCTCATGATCAAGCCTTTGCTTCATGGACCACGTCTATGGTAAAGCAGGCCTACTGTCAGCCAACTAGCTCTAGTCTAGGCCGCGTCTATTCTGTTTTTATCCGTAATACCAAGTCAATGACTTACTACGCCCTAGTCTTGCGCTAGGATAGACGCGCTAGAGGGTAGAGCTAGTTGGCTAACAATAGACGTGCTTCCTTTGCTAAGGCTCTTAAGTCCTTTTAGGCTTTAGTGATTTTCAAAATCTATATTTTATGCCTTCGAGTAACAAAATTTCTAAGTCCATTATAATATTTTATTATCTTTTTATATGCCAGGTTTCCTAACTTTAAAGGAATTATTTCTGGAATGAAAATAAGTTTTCCATGTTCCTTTTAGTAAGGCTAAGCGATATTCATCGGTATCCTAAGCTCTATCTTCTGATTTTAGGAAAACTCAACTATCAGTCCTTAAACCACCTTTATGGTGATTAGGTCCATATTTAAAAATTACTGTATTAGTGAAACCTATTTATACCGAAAATGTACACTTTTCTATTTATTTTCTATTTAATTTAGATATTTATATTTCCTTAATATTTCATTTCTATTGTTTACTATCTGCTTAGCCCCTTCTGCTAACTCAGGGAGCCATGGCACATTCGACTTCTCGCCGACTACCAGAACTCTTCTCTCCCCTTCATCTGCTTTTTCGAACATGGCCACCTTTACAACTGGTTCTCTTCGCTCTACATCTGTGACAACACCAGAAGAGACTACATCTGTATCTTCTTTGATGCCATGTCTAGTTGAGGACGCTTTAGATGCTTCTGATGCTACTGCGGATGTCACTACTGTGCCTGGTTCAGATGACCTCGTGCCAGGCACCTCCAGCCTGGATCTTATAAGTTCTTTAGTTGATGAGGAGGGTATCCTTGGCGCCGTAACTGGTGATCTTTCTCATGATGGGCCACCCGACCTCAGGATCGACTTCTCTGCTAGCCTGCTTCTTTCAGACATATTCTCTATCCCCTCTTCCTCCTTATCATCTACTCCTACTACAACGAGCACCAGTTTCGTCAACCACAGACACTCAGGCTTCTGTCAAGCTGCTTCAAAATCCGCTTCTGGCCTCTCAATCTTCGACGGCTCTTGTCCTTCTCGGCCTCACTCAGACTGCAGTTCTATGGCCTCCACCGACTTACCATCTGTTTTGAGGATGGCTTCTACGGAGACAACTTATATCAAAACACCTACTGCATCCAGTCATGTGGCCTCAGTTCGCAACGTTAATTCAGAATCCTTCCGACAAATGCCTCGTGCTCGGATCCGTCGGACTGATCGGCCAGTTGCAGGATTCAGAGGGCCGCAGCGACGCTCAATCGGAGATCCGATGATACCTACATCGTCAGCTTCAGTTACTTCTTCTGCTGACTATAGCTACTGCTTGGCTGGCGAATCGCAGTCAACTAGCCGAAAAAATGGAATTGAGAAGCTGCGGTTCTCGGGGAATTCAGATGCAGTTCTGATAGGAGATGATGCGCAAGATAAGGCTGATAGTACAAGGAGGGAAGTGTGCCTATCTATGAAAAATGGAGAGAGTGTGGAGGATTCCTTGGAGCAAGGGGAGGAAGGCACCACTGTTGATAAAATCCGCTCTATGTCAGGTAATTTTCAGAGAGCTCCTTGCGGACGTAATGGTCGACATAAAGTTTTGCGCATGGTTAGCTTATTTGTCCTAATTATTAATGAGCATCCGATCCCGTGCATCTGCTTAATTAAGTAATTTAAAATGGTAATCAAAGGCATGAAGGCCAATAGCCCAGGGCAGAAGGAGAGATACCACAACTGTTTAGCACACGTTTGGTCAAAGGATCGGCTTCACTTGTCTCTTTGAAGCGTTGTAGTTTGGTGCTAAGAATGGCAAGACTCATTGACGATGCCGACTACGATACCGGCGAAACGTCTGGGAATGTACCACGTCCGCAGTCCTACTCTGGAAATGATGATGCATACAATGGACTCCGGACTAGGTGCGTTCCTCTAGGTCTTCTTACCAATATGAACAAGTTGCGAAAACAAGGTCAAACAACTTTTAACATGGTAAATTTTATTGAATTTTACTAACGCCAGACCGGTACCCGACTTCTTATGTGGGCAGTCATGTTAATTCACAAGCTTTGCCTGCTGACAAATCGTCTTCAATACTATTACACAAACGTCAAAGGCAGTTCATACCTAAGATCAAATTAGAATTAACCTATTTTAATAGGATTTCTCTTGTCGATTATTCTTCTTGACCTTACAATATTGGGAATTTGCCTTCATTATTTCTTCTTTTTACGACCATGCCTATCAGATGGCCTGCCTAGGCTCAGCAATGATTCATTGACAAGAAACTACGGTGTCACTAGGATTGTAGCTATCAGATTTATGTAAATGCACAAGATTCTAGAGCTTAATCAGAAAATCTATCCATTCACTCTTTAAAACTAAATTTAAAAAATATATATTTATATATTTATGATGAATGGATGAATAAATAGAGTAGATAATCTCCCTGATATATGTTGACTTATGTTATCATCATGCTTGTAATGCGATTTACTATAACCGATACCAAGAATTCCTCAGGTTTTAATAAATAGTCTGTACCATGCACAAAAATCAACTTTTTGTGCGAAACATTGGTAAGCAAATCGCTATTGACCTCAGTATTAATTATAACTTTAAATTTTACTGAAATCTGTATATCTTGCCCTCTTTAATAGATTTTTTCTTCGTTTCCTCACCATTTTCAGTAGGCTTCTTCACTCAATCCAGCCTTGCCTGTGATCTGGCAGGATCAGGGATCCCAAATGTGACAGCCGATCTAGGTCTCGGTCTTGGGCTCCCCTCTCTGCCTGATGATTCTGCTGCTTCGCCCTCCCATTCCCCTCATACTTGTGCCACTTCTCTTCTGCAGCCGATACAGACTGGCTCTATTTCTGGAGTGCAACCTCAAAACAATCGCCACCATCAAACAACACAGGACCAATTTCAGCACCATTACTCACATGGCTTCTCCGATAGCTCTTTATCGACTGATGGACGGTTAGAATTGTTGTCTCGGGCCCACTCCTTGCCTCTTTTGCTGCCTCCACTTTCACTAATGATGTCAGCTTCATCTACCAACACGCGGAATCCCACCATTCCTGAGGGCTGGTCATCCCCCTCGGAACCCAAAGCTTCCGATCCCATCGTCAAAACATCCAACGCTGGTCTCTTTACTGCGCCACTGCCGCCACTTAAAGTACAATGTACCAATCCCATAAGTCCGCCTCTCACCTCTACCCTTGTCCTACTCACTCCAACCTCTGCAGTTATCACCACCACCACTGCTGGCATTAACAAGTCTTTCAGTCTCTCCTCTCTTGAGCAGGCCAGGTCAACATGCCGCCTGGTCCAGAATGAATCCGGTATGTATGAAGCTGAATCTAACATTCGCAGCAGGAATGCAACTAGTGTCAGCAACGATAATAGTGACACCGTCTCTACCATCACCCATATTCCGTCCGCCACTTTTGGCTATGAATGTTCGTCTCGACCTTTGGTCCCCGACTCTCCCACGCATATGAATAGCCAATCCGTTATTTTTCCTGGCCACTCTAGCAATGGCTTTCCCGCCTTACAAAGTGCAACCCAGGGGAAAGTTGGAACTATCCCCACATCCTCGGTAGACATGCAAGACTCTGGAGAAATCGGTTCGGTGCTTAAGGGCTCTACTAAACTGGTTTTCGCTGATTCCCTTGTTTGCCAGACATTGATCCAGTTTCCGGAGCCTGCAATAGCTGATGGCATAGTCGGTGATAGAGTTTTATCCCGTTCGTCAAATTCAGGAGCTACAAATCCGGCTCCGACAAGCTTTCTGATTGCTGCACCTTCAGGATCTCCTTTCACTTCAGGATCCTTGAAGCCCCGAGACAATTTGGTCGTTTCATCGTCCATTCCTGCGATACAGATGAATGCTCATATGCCACACAATCTTCAACAGCATCAGGTACATCAGCAACGACTCCAACTTCAGAAGGTCGACAGAGAGACAATATCATCGGCTCACTTGGCTTACCCTGGCCAGCTAACTGTGAGCAATTCACTTGATTTTTGTGTTTTAAATAATTTTAGGGGGCTGACCACATGTTAGTAGCTTGAATTTCCTATTGATGATTCTTGATTTTACCGATTTGCCTGTTAGGCCAGAATATTTATGAATCCTTCAACTAGCAAGTCTGCGCATCATATTATATGAAACGCCAAGCATGATCCTTTTACCATTCTTATTTCTAAGGACAAATAGGTTTGAGTATCATCTTTATGTAATTATCATGCCATTGTGTGCGACGAAATTCAATTTTATTTTAGGGACATAAATTGACCTGTGAGAAACCAAGTTAATAAAAAACTGTCTATATATCTGTAGGTGGTTGATCCAAGCAATCACAATTCTCAAGACTTAGGCTGTTATCTTATAAAATGGTGTGAATATTAAAACTAATACTGAAACCATGACTGAGGTTTATCTGCATTTATTTTGACGATCATACCTTCGCCGATTGTGTACTTATGTCGTCTGACCGAGCATTTAAGATAGCAGATCTGATCCTTATCGATATATAAGGTAGAAAATTTTTATACTTGAGTCACCGAAACTGTAAACCGGCCTAAATGAGGTAGAGCTATGGGTAATTCACTAGCATTATGAGGCTTGCGCATATCCTTATGGGGAGATTTATCTACAAGCCCTTCATCGCCTTATCTGCGAGAGTAAATACAGTTCTTACTCAAGACTTTTACTTTTTGTTTGTCCCAATCATACTACTCATGTACTTCGTTCCCTTCCTTTTCTCAGGTTCCTCACACCTTGGACCATTCAACACCGAATTACCTGTCACCGGCTCTCTGCCAACTCCAGCCGATCTCATTGTTGCCACCCGGAACTGCCGACCATGGAACTAGCAGAATATTAACGGGTCATGGCTCGATTTCTTCTAGCGCCCAGTTCATCACAACCGCACCTCAACCCACAACCTGTGGACTTAGATCGCCTGGTGGCTTACCTCATCACGATTCCGCTGGCTCGCAGACGCTAGGTTCACTTAACCAGACACCCCAAGTGTCCATTGCCATGTGCTCTGGAAACGGTCCCTCAGCCTTTCTGATGCCTGTTTGTGCATGTTCCTCAGCATTGCCTACAGTAAGCGCTGTCATTGTGACTGCCGGTGCGGAGGCCTACGGCAAGGCGGAGTTTGGCGTCAACTCTGCGGCCGTAATCTCGCCCGTTAGTCGTAGCTAATTTTCGTTCTTTTGATTTTATTTATTATTTAATTTCTATACAGGTAAGCCTTAAGGCTTCCGTGACTACTTCTGCCTTTGGTTATATTTAATTGTGGCCTGTTCATTTTGAATAAGTCACATAACTATTTTCTTATTAATTCTATCCAGACCTGCTTTAGGCTGGAGAAAAATGTATAAAGACCATGATCATTTGCCTCTGTCTACAATCTCGCCTACTATTCCTGGACTTTAAAAAATTTAGTTTAAAGATCTGAGTTGACTTGATATGTTTGCTACTTTTACAGTTAAGTCCATAGTTTCTTTGACGCAGAAATAACCTTAGATTGCAATGCCATAAAAGCTTTATTTTATCCCTTATTGTGGGCCTGGTTAAGTTGGTGAAAAGGAGGCCGCTTTAACTCCACACGAGAACAGTAGATTGCGATTAACTTGGGTTTTATATCTATTGCACTCTGTAGTGTCTAACGTTTCGTAAATTGTTGAATTGCTTTATTTCCTGAGGAAAAAATTATATTTAGATTCTAAGTTAAA